TTTGGAGCTGGTTCTTCATGGAATACAGAAATAAAGAATAATCACCAGATCGGATTATCTATTTCAATTGAATTACCCGATTAAATATCAATAACCGGATGACCTGATTAAAACGGATAACTAGTCACCCGGTTATCCGCTTTAATCGGGTTATCCGGTTATCTGCTTTTAATCGGGTCACCCGGTTATCCGTTTTAGTCGGATAGCCAGGTCACCCGATTATAACAGGGTGACCCGTTTTAATCGGGTAGCCGGTTTTATTTTCGGGTACCCGGTTGGAAAAGATGATTGACTCGGCGGGTCACGGATAGGGATTTTCAAACCGGGTTGGAACCTTAGATATAATTATTAAACCAATTTTTTTTATAAAAATAAAACTTTGCAATTAGGTTAGGGTTAGTGTAAGGTTAGAAATAGAAAAGAGCATAGTTTATATCAAAATTTAACAAGGAATTTTTTTTGTTAGAATATAATAGATGGTTTCATAGTCAAAATTTTGAGTTATTAATGATTTCTTTAAAAAAACTGTTTTTGTTTTAATTTCATGTTACACCTGATTTTAAATTTTGATTGGCTTCATTAGATGTGGTTACAGTAACCACGGTTACAAATTTATTGCTCCTTTAATATAACTGATATAAATTACCTTGTAAGTTATGTATAAGATTCAATACTGTAATACTGTAATAAAAAAAAACAAAAATTACGTATAAATAATGTAAATTACTTGTAATATAAATTTCACTTAATGCCAGTAGAAATTATTGCATGATTCAGCCAACTTTAGTATATAAATTGTAACTTACATATGGGCCATATAAGTTACAGTAAATTACAGCATAACTTACATATAAATTATATTGTCAAGTAAGTTTTAACAACTCTAGTCAGAGCACTTATTTTTGGTATTTTTTTTTTATTTAATATTAAGCAATACTAATAGTTTGGCACTAAAAATCTAACTAGACATGAGTTTAATGAATTGCTTGTTTATTTAACAATTATAGCCTGTACCTATATACCAATTTTCATGCTGATGCCCATACCCGTGCCAAATTTTTGTACCCATGCCTGTGCCAAATTTTTGTGCCCATGCCATGCCCATGCCAAATTTTTGTATCCATGCCCATTTCTATAGCAAATTCTTATGCCCATGTCTATGCCTATGCCTAATCTTTGGACCATGCCCATGCTTGTAACTTTTGTTGGGCATGGGCACGAGCCCGGTTTGCAAACCCCTAATTATAAGTAACTTGGAATTTTTTTCTTATAATATAAATATAAATACTATAAAAAGATAATTCTTATTTTTAAATATTATTATATGAAATTTTATTTAAATATTTTAAATATTAAAAAAAATAAATCATAACTAAATTTATGCTATTTTTAAGCTAAAATTGTTACATGAACTCTACAGCTTAAGGGATACTATTTACAAATAAAATAAAAAAAAATAAAAGGATACACACAGAATTGTGGAAAATAATGTGATCTAAGTAATTTTTTTTTTTTGTTGCACTACTTATGATTGCCAGTGTACAGTTACAATATTACCTCTATACTTTATTTTAACCCTTCTTACAAAATTCATAAACCTTATAACTCAATTCCATAGTATTAACCTATATAATTGTTTTTTTTTGTTAGTTGAGATTACGATGAAAAAGTTTTCACAAGTAAAAAGCTAAATTGCTGAGTTTAATTGATTTATTATACTTATGAGCTAAACTCAAACGTTTTAATATACCCTCACATAACTTCCGAATTACTTCGTGGATTACCGAATTACATTGATAGTTTATAAAATGAGACGTGTACTTTAAAATTTCTGTAGTCCCAAACTTTACCATTTCGCATTCGTGGTTAACCTATTTTTGTTGCAAAACATTACGCTATAGAGTACATATTATAAAAGATTTAGTCGATCATCCAATCAAATTAAAAGCGGGTTCTATCCAGGTTCACCCGTTAGTTGCCCACCCGGGTTCAACCCGGGTAGCCCATAGGTCTACCCGCGGGTAACCCGGGTGGCGATTTTTTTGACGGGTCCAATCACCCTTATGTGGGGGTTTAATATGCCCTAATGTGACATTAGACACCACCATGGATATGGGACATTGTCCGGGTCACTGCAATTTTACATCCGAACCCAACATTGCTTTGCGGTAAACATATAGGTTTGCTAAAGAAAGTATTTTTTTGTAAATTTATTATTATAATGAAGCATACAATCACATTAAACCTCAAACAATACTACACAAATCGATGTAAAAAATCATGCTAAATTTAATATGGAAAGCAAACTATAACAATGTCATTAATATCCTACTGCAATAAACTTTACATTAGTTTAATTCCACGGATAATGGTCTTTAGTACTCTGGTATGTCTCTCTTCCTTTTTATAATCTGCCCGATCATCCAGGGCTCCACCATCTACTTCTTTAGATGACTCACCATTCTTGGCCGCAGCCTTTAAAAGATATACGAAATCACACAAAGTCGTGATTGGTACATTTGAACTACTTGCGGTTAAGATGTCTTGCAATTTTGAAGTCTGTTCAAATTTAGCGGCAACCACTTCAGCACGATCAACAATCTGTCTAGGAACGCCAGCCATATTGGCCACATTCATCCCATATGACTTGGGGCAAACTCCAGAAACTAGCTTGTACAAGAAGGTCACTTCTTTACGATCTTGGTCAACATGACAACTCATATGCTTAAGTGCAACGTTGGGATTTTTAGCAAATTCTTGGGTAAGCATGCCATAATGTGTAGAAAATAGGCCAAGACAACCAATATGCGTCGCCAAATAATGTAAAACTGAATATGCTATAGCATAACCGTCAAAAGTAGACGTGCCACGTCCCAATTCATCAAGAATAACCATAGACCTAGGTGTCGCTTCGTGAATAATCTTTGAGGTTTCGCTTAATTCTACCATAAAAGTACTTTGACCGGCAAGAATGTTATCATTAGCACCAATGCGCGTGTATATCCTATCAAAGGGCGTCAAACGACAACGCTTCGCAGGAACATAGCAACCAAGCTGTGCCATAATAATAGCCACGCAATTCTATCAATTGATAATTTATGCGTCAGAATTCGTACTAAATACTTAATCAGAATTCGAATATATATATTTCTGTGAAATTCCAACCTGACGCAAAAGCGTGGATTTACCACCCATATTTGGACCTGTAAGCAATATCATATTTGGTTGATCACCACCAAGAAATGTATCATTAGGTATGAAATCAAAAGCGGCACTTGATGAAAAAAAAACCAATAATCAGCAAAATTTAAATAATAATAAAGAAGCAGCCGAACAATTTCTCTTGCTCGTTAAAACAAAAAATGCATACCCAGCAGTAAAACATGGGTGCCTAAGCTCTTCAAATTCTAGAACGCTTTGCTCCTGTGACACAAATTCGGGACGACAGCGAGGTTCTAGAATAAATTTAATAATCATTAGCGATCATTCACAAGCCAATCGTGAATCGAACTTAAACTTATTAACTTACCGCCCAACGCTAATGAACTTTTAGCCAAACTTAGCAAACAATCAATTTCACCAACAATTTTAACGGCAAGAAGCCAATTACGATAATGTGCATCAAATTTTTGATAAAAACGGCTTTGTAAAGATTTTAATATACTAGATTGTGTTTCTTTTGCTTCTTGAAAATCTCTAACAAGTTTTTGGAGAGTTGGATTCCAATAACGATTGACTTTCTAAGGAATACAAAAAAAGTAAATAAAATAATTAATGAAAATTAAAATAACATAATACGCTAATTTATTTTTTTTGTTTGTGTTCACCTGTGTACGTGATAGTTTTTGCCAATTATCTGGTACCTTTACTGTATTCGGAACCTCAAGCTGGAAAATTTCCTTCCCAATATCTTTATAAATAATTTTATTGGTTCTATATGATAAATATAAAATTTATATTCAATTCGAATAACATTATGGCAATTTAATAAGATTTAATCCAATTTCCTTCTCCCTACTTTAATAATTCCTTTGCATCTTTTAAATGATCGGCAAATTTTTTATCAATTTCCGCCATTCTGTCAATAATTTCGTCGTAGTCACTTTCAATGCCAGGATAGGGCAATAGGTTACCTAATATATATGATGCACGCAAATGTGTTAACTCTGATAATAAATAATCATGTACCTAGCATAAAAAAACAAATTACCTTCTTTATATGCTTTTTCATGATCGAAAGCTTCTTTAAAATGTGTAAGCATTTGTTTCAAGTCAGGAAAAGACTCAAATAACTGTCTCAATCTAATTGATTTGAAATCATTTGCAAAACCACCCAATTGTTCCATTGTATTCTACACATAAATAATAATGATAAGTTGCTACGTTTTGTATTTTTACATAAACTTGTATTTAATAAACACTTACCATCAATTTTTCGAAAGAAACTAGTACATGCAAAAAATCTTTCACTTTACATGTGCCAGCATGAACTCTACTTATCAAGCGTTCAAGGTCTGGAAAATGAGAAAAATTCACAAGATATACATCTTGAAAGTCGGGAACAGTATTTAATTCTTCTATTGCATCTAAGCGTGCTTTAATAGCAGCAATGTCACGAAGCGGATGGCATAGCCATTGTTTGAAAGTACGCTTTCCTATTAAAATCACCAAAATTAACTCAATTTATAAATAAGCAAATCAAAACGTTAATTTATTTTAAAGAAAATTTTTTTTTTACCAAAGGGAGTAATACAGCGGTTTAACAACTGGAATACTGTCCCTCGAGTACTTCCGTCTAAGCTATTCTCAAACACTTCAAGATTTGCCAGCGTTTGTCCATCAAGAACAAGTGAGGTATTATGACATATTGGATCGTATATATGGAAATTTCGGAGGGAAACAAGCTCGGAATCAAGTTTTAACTATTTTACGTGTTGTGTTGAGTCTTAAAATTTTCGTTTTTAAATTACTGAAATAAACTATTAAAAGACTAAATAACCTACCGCACGCAGATACCAAATAAGCCCTTTATAACAAAATTTTAAATAAAACTTTAGAGGAAATCAAACCAACCACATTCGATAACAGGTAATAACGCATACCTCCTAAAGCCGATAGCATTAAAGGATCCTTTAAAGCTTCTTGAATTGCACTTGGCCATGTTTCTGGAAAAATTATTGCCAATGTTAATTTATTTTGAATAAATTATTTATAAATTGTTTAGAACTTACCAGGTTTGTTTCCTTCATCATTATCAATCATTGTTACATCACCATCATTATCTACTTCATTTTGCGCACTTGATGCATTCTTATTATTAAAGTATTGAGACATCCTTATTTGACTTCTCGTCGTATTAGCATCCCAAAATTCACTTTCAGGTTTGAGTGCAGTCCATATTGGACGGTTTGTACAATCTTTCAAGATACGTTTGGATAATTGACTAAGCATTCCCTATTTAATTATATTTATACATAAGTCTTTAATAACAAGAGAAAATAGTCTTATTATGAGCATAAAAAATATTTGCCTTCTCGTAAATTATTTCTTTCGGTTTTGTTTGCATAATCAACGTTTCAAACTGAGTTCTGTCAACATCATCGACAAACGACGCGAGGTGAAATTCTGCCGTCGCGGTGTCAACAAAACAAATCCCAAAAGCAGGTGGAGCATTTTCAGCAGGGCATGATTCCTGTATGCGAATGATTATATGATAATTAACTCTTCTGATCGTAATAATGCATTAAATTATAGCAAATTTATGCATATAAACCTTAATCGACATGCAATAAGTTGACATCTCATTGGTCAATAATCCACCTTCGACGATCGTACCAGCAGTAAAAATGGACGTTAGTTCACGTCTGATAATCTTGTCTTCCTACAGTGTTGCATATGAAAATTCGGGTATAAATCATTGGTAAACTAGTACCTCGAAAATGAATCAAAAATAAATCAAAATGGATGGTTAGATAAATATAATAGTATACCTTTACATTACTGGCTTTTTCGCGCATCTCTTTTCCAAGTGCAGTCTCCATTTGATCTACCTTCGCTACTTTGTGTCTTTTAGATAGTACCCAGAAGTTTGCAATGTTAAGTTTTAATTATTATATACATATTTATTGTATATTGTATATTTACCCTTTGGCAATGAATTGAGCGGCCCATGATTCAAAGGCCATTTCAGGAACGCCAACCATGCGCATATTTACGCGATCAGTAAGCTTAAGATCAAATTCTTTATGTCCAATATCCGCATCACGCTCATATAATTCTGTAAATTAAAATAATAGCAATATAATAAAGCGTAAAATTGCATGTATATTTAATATCGAAATCATTTTACATTACTTTCTTAGAGACATAACCCTATATATACCATAGAATTTTCCTTTCTTGAAAAAAACCACCTATTATTATTTTAAAATTAAATTAATAAGGTTTCCAAATATGATAAAACTTTTTACATGAATTTTAAAACCCACAGTATCCCAATGTTTCGCTTTTATTTCCCAGAATTGTTTTTCAAAGGGTGTAAACTTATTCCAGGCAGAACGAGGAATGAATAATGTTCGAGAATCGTAGTCAGGTGATCCTGTAAACCATTTCGGCCATAAATCACCTTATTAGGATAATTACTAGAGGAAACTAAGAATATTCACCTTCTAAATTTCCATCAGCGTCCCTGACTTCTTGTAGCCAACTATAACGCTCCTCATTCTTGGCCTTAAAATCTGACGCACGTTGCTTAAATTTTCAAAGATACCATTAATTGGTGAAATAATCATAAATTTGAAAACAATGCATTAAAAATTAAAGATTACTTTTTTTTTCTCTGAACTTGTCATGTGAATTGTCGAAGAAAATGATGATCCACGTCGCATAACGGAACTTGAAGCAAATGCCTAACGTGAATTTTAATTTGATATGATTAATTTGATTCGATGTATTTTTCTTTACCTTAAAGTTTACCTTTAATTTACTCTGAACGAAGTTCAAATTTCCAGAAGCTTTATTCACGGGTTTCTTGCTATCGTCGCTATCTTCATCATTATATTCGTCAACGTCATTTTTCGTTTTTTTTCGACGCAAGGGTTTTTCTACATAAATACAATATATATTATTATTATTATTATATGATTAGATTAATATAAAATTATCCATATTTATAAAATTTATGATATATACGTGGAGAACTAACAACATCCTCACTATCTTCATCTGATGAAACGCAAATCCTGCGTTTAACCCTCCCCTGCAAAAAAAAAAAAGGCCTATTAATGCTTATACTTTAAGACCATTCATACGTGGTTCATATACAAGATTTGAACTATACTCTCAGGGTTCTTTTCTCTTCAAACTCCTCTTTTTCGGAATTTGACCCGTCCATATCAGGAGTATACATATATAGTACGGTACGATGGTTTGTATGGTCTGTACAGTGATTACTGTAATAAAAGTGACAAGCGTGTCGCTGTCGCGTCTTCTTTCGCACGATATAATTTATAATCAGATTTGCATGAAATCACATGACTCAGCCACCCGTATCGGTCAATATATTACTAGAGACAAAGAAAAAAGTGCAAATTTAAGCCACGCGCGTTTAGAGAGATCCCTCGACATTTTCTAAATTTGATTGGACAATCTCCTCAAGATATTTATTAAACATCCTGTTGAATTATTTGAATTATTCGACTTATAATTAGTTCACCTCAGCTTTAAATTTCCATAAAAAATAGCTTTACAAAAAATGTTACTCTCTTAAAAATTTATAAAAATGCAAAAATAAAAAGACTTGTTCTTCTTGTCTTTTAGAACAAAACTAGTGGTTTAAATTGAAATTTAAACCGATGGTGTAGTAGCCTTTCAAAGTTTGCCTATTTTATTAAAAAATTGATATATAATCTTATTTTTAATTAATCAAATCATCGGATATAACCATAATTTTTTACTACAGTGCAAACAACCTACAGTACCCTACCATATTATTGTGGACACTCTTTAAAAATTTTATTACATGAAAATCAGATCTCAATACTAAAATTTCATACAATTTTATTATGAATTTATTGAATTGGCAAATATTTAACCAGTAAATTTTTTGCCAGATATCTCAAAATTTATAAAACAGCTATAACATTGCAAAAAAAATTATCTGACTAAATTAATTTTATTTAGTGTTACTATGCTATTGTCTTCTTGGCAACAATTACATATGCACTTCTAAAGCAGGCAAATACAAAAACACAACAGGTTTTTAAGAATTTTGCAGAAGCATGTTTGTGAGTTGGCAACATTCCAAGTAAATAGAAAACAACTCAGGTGTACCAAATTCCAAAAAGGCAAAATTGGGAGTATAATTTGGATAAAGTCAGGCCAATTGCTCTAGTAGAAGTTTTCAGAAAAGAGTTACAAAAATTTTAACAAAGAAGTTAAACAAAATTATTAAAGAAAAAAAGATCCTCCAAGGCTCTAACTTTGCTGGATTATCCAGAAACTCTACAGAAGAGCTAGTTCATATTTTAAAGGCTTTGATCAAGAAGGTTAAAGAAAACCAACAAAAGATATGGGTTTTGTTTCAAGATATAAAAAAGGCTTTTGACTCTATAAATCTGACCATGTTACAAAAAGCTCTCAAAAGAATCAAGATCCCAGATATATGCTGCAAACTAATCTACAATATATTTGAAAACAGAAAGTTAAAGATTATAACTATATATAGGCTAATGCAAAAAATTATAGCAAAAGGAGGTATCAATCAAGGAGAAGCCATATTTTCTCTTCTTTGGTAAATTTTTTATGATTCTTTATTAGATAAAATACAAAAAAATAAAAGTCTGAATTACAGGATAAAAGTACTAGCTCAGATAGAAAGCCTGCTAGGTATTAAAAACCAAAAAGTATTAGATAGGTAGTCCTCGTTTATGCCAATGATACTATGTGGATTGCGAGTTTGAAGGATTAGCTAAAATAAACAATTCAAATAGCAAAACAGTTTTTTATACTAAATGGTATAGAAATTAATAGCAATAAGTCAAAGCTAATAGTTCTGAACTCACAACTTCCATTAGCAGATAGACAAGTAGAATATAGGAATGCACTAGTTAAGGTAAGTAAGAATCTATATGAACTATAGTTTCTTGAAACTTTTCTATATACTAAGAAAGAGGTGGTAGCAATTAAAAAGAAAATTAAGCAGATTGTTAGTTTGTTTACATACAAACTAGAAAGGAAAAAATCTATAGCTAGTTAATTAGTATATATAAACAACTAGGTCCTAATTCCCAAACTGGAATATATTCTACAAATAGTAGCATTATCAGAGAGCAAATTGAATACAATCTACTAACTATTTCTATGGTTAATAAAGAAAAACTAGAGATAGCACAAACAGTGCCAAATAGCATTTTAGTTTACAAGATATATTAGAACCCAAATTGCTTGCAAATACAATATTAGCCAAGCAAACTATAGCACTATTCAAAAAACTAAACAGTACTAGAACCTTAGAAAATATTACCAAAATGAGAATTAGACAAGGAATCTTGAAAAAAAAACATAATATACAATGTCTGAAAAGACCAAATAGTAAGGCAAAGTCTGATTATAAAGACAATATTGCACTTAATATAATAGAACAGTGTAAAAAATTAGATATATAGTTTACTACAGAAGAAAAAGGCAGAAATATATGTGGCTTGGGACAACAATTACAAGTATGCTAAGTTTGTTGCAGAGGAAAAAAAATAGAAAGCAGCAAGCAAGTTTGGAGTTATATTACATCAATCAGATATTAGATATAAAAGATGAAAACTTGCTAACATGGCAGCAAATAAAGGCTCTTAAAAACTTTTGCTACAGTAGCATAACCTCACTTTGGTACAAGTTTATTGAAAATTTAATACTTGAAAACGAAAAGAAATGTAAAGTAAAGACTTATTTCTGTTTGCAAAAAATAAACAAAGAGCCTATAATTTCTAGCTTATCATGTATTAGCCAAGACAAAAAATAAAAAGATTAGATCCTATACTACAAAGAAGAAACTAACTAGCTAGAAATCGAACAGGTACAAGAAAAAAAATCTTTTGAAGTTTTAGCCAAGCACTGAATTGAGAAAAACCCTACCAAGAAAGGCAATCCTATAGTTTAATATTGAGGTTGTAATTTTAATGATATAGACAAAGAAAACAGTTACAAGATTAATATAAAGTTAGACAGAATACTAGGTAAATTAGAGTATATTTTAAAAGATGAGAAGGGTTTGCATCTTAGAATCTCAACAGAAATATATAATTCTATAGTTGTGAAAAAAAGCAGACTCGAATATTTACTTGAAAATATAAAATGGTAGAAAATGAAAATCTGAAGTATATAAAAAATTTGAAACTTCTAGCCAACATTACTGCTTTGTTATTATACAGATTAAGGAGAAATCTTAAATACAAATATTTTTTATACAGATAGTTCTTGGATTTCAAACAAGTTTAACAAGAGTAAAGAAGATAGAATGGAGGTCAGTTGGGTCCAGATTACAGAAAATGAAAAAGATATGATATTTAAAGGCAGAAGACAACTAACTATCCTTTACAAGAACCGAGCTAGTAGCAATATTATATATACTTTTAATAGTAAATATAGATACAAAAGTGCAAATAAAGACTGATAGTGCAGCTGCAATTTTGGCAATAAAAGGTGTACTAAAAGAAAAATACTTTAGTAAAGAGATTAAAAGAAAAATAGAACAATGCTGGATAAAATTGCAAAAGTAGTTTAGTTCAAATCACTTAATCTCAACTTAATAAAGGTCAAGGCATATACAGATATAAAGTAAAATAAAATAGCAGATTGTATAGCAAAAGAAGCTATTTATCTAGCTAATATTTGAAGATAGCCAAGCAATATTCGCTCTAGATAGAGTTTCGATATATTATAGCAAGATAAAAATATTGAATATCCACTACAAAGTTTTATACTTAAAGTCAAAAGAAGAGTAATAGAAAGTGAATAGTATCTGTTGAAAAGTTGTAAGCCTTTGCAAAAGTTAGAATGTGAAAACAATCTATCTTGGGTCTTATATTGGAAAAGATTATTAGAACTAAAAAGTCAGAAGTGTAGATCACTAGCTAGTAGTAATAAGCTCATCAAATAAATTAAAGGTCTATTCTGAGTACTTCTGATATTGGATAGGCTGCATCAGTGCAGCCTATATGTATATTCCTTGGCTAATTGCATTATATTGTGGTAAAATTTACTAAAAACTATAAAGCTTAGCAAACTTTAAAGTTACAAGTGTCGAGTAGAATATCTTTTATTTAAAGAGAATAATGAAAAAAAAAAATTAAACAATTTGTATAATAGAATTTAAATTCAATAGCCTTTAAAGTACTATAAGAAGTTATCAATAGGTGATAGGGTTTGAGAGATTAAACCTATTGGTCAGTTTGTACGGGTTAGGCGTAGTAATTACTTGCCCTTTACAAGGATATGCTAGCCACTAAAACTTAGAAATATCCTAGGATATAACCAGAGGAAGAAGTACTAACAATCAGACCATCCACAGCTATGTATGGCCTTTAAATTCCAAATAATATAAGCTAGTATTTTGCCAAAATACTATTTCTGAAACCAGCTTTCACTTTATATTATT